AGTGAGCTAACACTTCACATCTACTAGGATGGCTATAACAAAAAGGACATACAATGACAAGTGTTACTGTTATATTGTTACTGTTTTTATGGTGTGGAGAAATTGGAACCTTGATTCATTGTTGGTGGGAATGTAAAACGGTGCAGTTGCTGTGGTGGAAAGCAGCATGGCAGTTTCTAAAAATGTTAAACATAGAGTTAGCATATGATCCAACAATTCCGCTCCTAGGTATGAAAACATATGCTCACACAAAAACTTGTACACGAATATTTACAGCAGCAGCATTATTTTGATAACCAAGAGACAGAAACAATCCAAATGCCTGTCAACTGACAAATTGATAAAATGTGGTATATCCATACAACATGATATCATTCAGCCATAAAAAGAAATGAAGTACAGATAGATGCTACAACATGGATAAATCTTGAAAACATGATGCAAAGTGAAAGAAGCCAGTCACAAAAGACCTATGGTATGATCCTATTCATATGAAGTGTCTAGAATAGGCAAGTCTATAGAGACAGAAAGTAGATTAATGGTTGCGTAAGGCCGGGAAGGTAGGAATGGGGGGTTGGTGAGGAATGACTGCTAATGGGTACAATGTGCTCTTTTGGGGGTGATAAAAATGTTCTAAAATTCGATTATGGTGACCGCATAACCCTGCAAATACAGTAAAAGCCATTGATTTACATACTTCAAATGGGCAAACTATGGTATGTAAATTATATCTTGATAAGGCTTTACATTTTTTTAAAATGTTATGTTCTGTTTAGTAATAAGGAATTTTATATCAGATATAAAACATCATAGTTACCTTAACTCTTCCCCAGGACTCTGGTGGTAAATTTTTATATACAGTAAATATCATCAAAGGCAATCCCAAAACAATGATCAGTACCAAAAAGAGGCCCCTTGTGTGTTCATCTGTCGTTGGTAGTGGAGTTAATTTTTAGTCTCTGGTTGGTCTCTTTGCATCCAGCATGCTTTAGTTTGCTGTTGGCTGCTTCCCAAAATGACCACCTTTTTACTGTCCTCCCCATTAAAAATAAAAGATCACATAATTATTTCTTCACTATGTTCATTTTATGCATTGGGATGAAAGTAAAGATCTATCTCATAGATTAGAGCTATTTATACATTACTTCATTACTTCTTTTTTTTAAAATTTTTATTGTTATGTTAATCACCATACATTAATTAGTTTTTGATGTAGTGTTCCATGATTCATTGTTTGTGTATAACACCCAGTGCTCCATGCAGAACGTGCCCTCTTTAATACCCATCACCAGGC